AGCTTCGAAGCGGCAGGAGGGCGGCGAAGAACAGCCCGCAGAAGGCTGGTGCGCTCGCCGGAGATCTCCATCGGAGGACGGCTGCAGCTCGATGTCTTCTATGGGCCGATTGATGCCTATAATGCCGAAAGGTGATGGACAGATATCAGGATGGCAAGTTCAGAGGGCGTCCGTAACACGTGATTTGTGGGCTTATTGCTTTTCATTGCCATCCAGGCATCAACCCCTGTTCCACACCGTGTCCTCTTTTCAAGGCGCTCTTTGCCGGTATCTCTCCTAATCCTTTTAGTTTGGAAGTTCTGAACCCTTGATTGCTAGACGCCTTAATCCCAGAGCACCTCACAATACTTGTGTAGCGAACTTCACGCCTGGAGCTTGGCAGGTAGACCTGGATGAGTTGGGTGTATGCATAGTACCCAAAAGGGGGCTATGTAGAATGACCCCCACGTGCACCTAGTCTCTTGTGGAAGTTGGCTTTGCAGGAGATAGAGGGAGACGAAGATCGGCCAGTGGGCGGTTGGTGCACTCGTCGAAGAGATACAATGGAGGACGATGTGGCCCAAAACCTTTAGACCCTAGATAGATACGGGGGTTTCCCCAATTAGGGGTACCATTTTGGGGGTCCGTATAATAAGGATTGTAGTACATTGGGGTCCCACTAATTAGGCAAACTACAATATGTGGCAGCTCTCAGACTCTGAAACGGACGGCGCTTTGCACATATCATATGCCTTGATCAACGTGTACAGCATTTCTACCTGCAATGCCACCCAAAACTGGTTTATCTCTGTGCCCCGAATGTGGCCAGGCAGCCACCCCAAGCTGGGTTGTTGCTGGGGAGCTTAAGTTCAGGTGTGGGCATACAGTACTAATGAGGCTTCCAGATTAGAGTAGCCCTCAACGCTAAACCTTGTCCTCATTATAGTAGCTTAACTTAGGTTCCTTAACTGCAACCCAGAAGACGATGTGCTATAGATTGGCATGAGGAACCCTAAAGGCCAGTTGAGCTTATATAGCTATAGTCTAAACTCCTTAGAGGGGGTCATATAGGGGATTATATAGGGGACCACTATAGGGGTTATTAAGGCGTATACTAGGAGTTTAGACTATGGCTCATATGAGGCATACAGCGCATTTGAGTGCAAGCGGGGAAGCTGCAGGATGTCGGTGAGGACCAGCCCACTGAAGGCTGGTGTGCTCGCCGGAGACTTGCGGCCGAGGATGGAGTTGGGTAGAATGCTTGAAAAGGTTCATGGGCTCCTAAATACCAGGACCCTCCTTATACCCTTAATTGGGGCTATATGGTCCCTAATAGTGGGTACTTAGGCCTGAATAGAGGGTAGGAGGAGGGTCTAGGTACATATTTGCTATTGTTATTGGCCCTGTCGCCAGCCGCCATGTAAACGCGCAAAATCAGCGTCCTCGCCCGAGCCCACATTTACTGGCCCTCGCAGTATTTCGCGCATTTTCGAGGGCTCGGAAGTGCGCGCGTCTCAGCAAAATGCAGAAATTTGCTTTCGTCAGGGATCCTGCGACAGTGTATCGAGCACTTCTGCAGCTTACGACTTTCACGAAATACTGCGAGGGCCAGGAAGTTTTCACGTGCTCCAAAAGCATCACGCTCACCGGAGCATCCATGCCCAAACCATAATTCCGTTCGTGTTTTGATGAGTGCGCTGACCACAGCTTTCTGTTCGTGTTCCAAGAGCACACGCTGACCAGAGCATCCACGCCC